CCCCCCCCTTGGCCTCAAGTATAGAGAGTCTTCTTCTCGTAGTCCAAATTGCAACATTGTGGTTGCGTGGTGTTTGGCAGAAGTTCAATTAAACAACTTCAAGTTTGACAATCGTTGCCGAGGTCAAGCCCGTTGCGGCGTAGCGAGTCAGCCAACGGTCCAAAGCTCGGCACATGTTTTTTCGATCTCGTTTGGTCTCATCGTTTCTATTGGACCGTTCAATCTCCCCTCCCCAAACCTGCTGTTTCTGTGATATGAACGTAGTCATACCGCTATTTAGTTAGTGAAACTTGCGGGATCCTTCAGGTGTACTCCTGTTTGTGGAGCATGCAACCAGGTTGACCGGCACCGGAAACATCATCAATTTAAAAAGGAGTGCCCAGCAGGCAACTCACCCTTCAACATGCACAAATACCCTGGGACACTATCTCCAGGCCAACGCGGAAACACGGCAACATTGTGGCCCGAGGTGTCATACATGGTTTTCAATGTTTACTCCGCCCTACTACAGCCCCAGATGATTTGCTCCATCATGTTTCGTCACTCCCACCAACAAGTTCCAACCTGGTGCTTTCCCAATTAGCAACCCAGACCTATCGAGAAGTGTGATATAAAGGCCATGCTAAGTAGGCCATGCTAAGTCCTCATTTTAGTCTTATTAAAGGCTACAGCCAGCCCTCATGTCAGTCTTATGTTTGCAATTGCCATTTGCCTGTCACAAGAGTTGGGTGGATACACTCAAGTCCTGTGTGCTGCTGAAAAGCCCAAGGTGGAGCACAGACAGGAGTTGTGGAGACACAACTCCAGCCAGCTGCACAAAGTGCATGCTGCATGCTTGTTTTAGTGTTTGTGTGAGTGCTGAGAATTTTCAAGAAATTCACTTGATGACTTGATGGCCTTTGCGCTCCTGAAAAGGGATTGTAGCCCTTGCTGAGACTGGAGTTTGTGCATGACTGACTGGCATGTTGTACTCCTACAAGTTGTGTAGCGGTTGCGTCTTTTTGAGGTTTCATTGTTTTGTTATGTAGTAGACTTAGTAGACTGTTCAAGAATCGCAGTGCTTGACACCTTGCGATTATTTTGCTGTTCTCCAGCCAGTGGTTGACATTTTATTGACTTACTGTACCTTCCTATGCCCTAATTTTTGGCTCTCGGTTGTAGGGCAAGACAGAGCGGAACTCACCCGTCTTGTAGTGAAAGACAAGGCTTCTTCTTGCGCGATTTGACATGTCGACTCCAGTCACTTTGCACATCTATGACGTGTCCACCGACTCCAGGGTTGGATCCATCAATGAATATTTGGAGGCCTTGGGCACGGGGGCATTTCATGCTGGTGTGGAAGTCAATGGTTTGGAATGGAGCTACGGCTACTCGCCCGACAACACCGGTGTGTTCAGTTGCCCTCCCAAAGGGTGCAAGGCCCACAAATATCGAGACTCCCTTAGCATGGGAGAGACAGCGAAGTCGGCCGCTGAGATCAAAGAAATCATTGAAACCCTGAAAGAAGATTGGCTTGGCCTTGACTACGACTTGTTGCGCAAGAACTGCTGCCTCTTCAGTAAAGAGCTGGTGCAGAAGCTTGAGGTTGGTCCAGTGCCCAGCTGGGTGACAAACCTCGCCGCAGCAGGTGCCACGCTACATGATGGTCTGTTGAAAGGCAAGGAGTATGCGGATAAGGCAGCGATCATGGCAAAGGCCAAGGCTGGAGAGTTCGATGAGAAGTACAACATCAGCGGCACAGCTAAAGCAGCAGCCAAGGCCAGAGAGCTTTTAAATCAACATGTTGTCTTTTGCTGATGAGCATTTCCTGTGAGCCGGGACGTTTGGATTCACGTGTGAAACCATGCCCGTGTTTTTTCTATTCATGTGTTGGGCAGTGTTCTGCAGGAAGTGTTGGAAGCAGCAGGGCGATTCGATGAACAATACCGAGTGAGAGAGAGGGCACTTTTGGCAGCTGTCGCTCGGCTTTCAATCCTTGTCTTGGCTCTCACGAGCTGTGTTGATTGTTTCATTGTATACCTGGCTGGGCCCAAATGGCCAGCTCGCTCAAGAGGATGACGGATTGGTCTTTGATACGGTTTGGCTTTTTAGGTCAGTTGGAGCTTCAACATTAAGTCAATTTGCTGCGTGTGTGACATGCACGTGGCCAGACATAAGGCACATGCGAAGGCCAAGGCTGGAGAGCTCGGGCAGGCGGGGGTGGCTGGGAGCAGTTGCATGCAAGCAGTCAAAGCGAGTCATACGAGGGAATAGCATATGTGGCTGGAACAAGGCCATGCAAGATGAAGCTGCTGCACTCCACAAGGAGATGGACACAGATGGAGATGGGCAGATCAGCATGGACGAGATGACTCCTTGACAGAATGAAGGTTTCAACCTCACTGTGGTCCAAAAGATCCAGACTAAAAGCTAAAGTCCGGTTTTCAAGCTCTGATCAGGTGCTACAAGATGAAACGAAGTAAGCAGATTTGAAATGGGGTTGTGATGCGTGGAGCAGGTTCGGTGACCCTGGGTGTGAAATGGAGAAGAAACACGAGTAACTTGGTTAGAAGAGGACACTGCAATTCCACTCTCTTTAGGGTGTGAGGACTGCCCCAATTACGACCGCCTTCGGATAGTCTTGGATCTATGCCAATTAAAACTAAAACGGTTGCTAATTGCAACCGGATATATAATTGCACAAAATCTTGGTGGATCTCTTCAGGAGAGGAGGATTGGCCAGGTGAATGGAGTACAGGCGCTGAAGCCTGTGTCAACCTTGTAACACTACTGTAGTCTCTTTGAAGGGGATTCATTGTTAGAACTTTGAACCGTATGTTTGCAAGTCACTAAATTCACCCGAAACACTTTGTATATTCACAACTGGAGCAATACCAGCCTTTTGATATCCGAGGAGAGCATACCTGAAAGACAAGATGGCAAAAGCACACCGCGCTGTCGACAAAGATGGAGATGGAAAGATCACTTTTGATGAAGCGACGCTTGCCTGCCACAGGTACTTTATGTCCAGATTCCTCAGAACGAATGCTTCAAAATCGAATCTGAGGAAAAGCTATGCGGCAGAGCGAGCAGGGCATTGCGGTTGTGAGGCCTGCACACTTCAGTAGGCAATGGCTTGCCGATGTGACGATGTCGGTGATACATGCGTTCATCGCCAAGGGCACAACGATTGTATGATACCATGACACCTAGAAGAGTCTAGAGGTACTGGCACTGGCTTTTGTAGTAGGCCGGGTTTTACGGAAGCCCTGCTCCAATTGTGAGATGTTTTTTTGCATGGAACTGGCACTGTCCACAGCAGTCAATGGATGCTGCGATAAAAGATGCGGCAAAGTTTTCATCCAAGAACCACTCTGTTTTCGAAATCCTTCTTTAGAATCACACCGTTTATGTAGGAACTCATGTGCATCAGATCAGGCAGTTTGTGAATGGCTTTGTTGGTGTGCTGCATCCGCAAATTGGCTATGCACATCTAGGGCTCAGAGCCCACATCTCAAATTGTGGCAGCATTGGTAGTTGAAAGGTTCTATCGACCACACACTAGCTCGGAAAGGTAACAAACAGTCAGTTTCCTTTGCCAAGCTGCCGCTGCCGCTAAGCCATGGGCCTTTGCCACTCTCAGTCAGGGAATAGCAGCTTAGCTTCAAAGAAACGCCGGTGCCATTTCTAGTGGAATACGATAAACACCACAGCAGCCAGCGCGTGGCAGACACCAGAATCAAAAGCACGCACTGGTGGCAACTGACAGAAACACGGAAGCGGCACCGCACCTATTGTGCAACCAAGGCACTACGAGCAACTCCAGGAGCAAGAGCGGACGACTGGTTGGGAGGGAGCTGTCAGCCTTTGAGCGGTTGAGTTGGAAGGCGACTCCATATGCGGCTTGCCAGGATGAAGACATTTCCAAGTGGTACACGAAACCGATGTATTTTGCTTTGTGCACTTGAGTTCCCTTCAGTTTCAGTGTCCGCGGTGTTGAGCTGCGCATGTTTCAATCGTTGGTCTTTGAGGTAACTATTGCTCATTGGTTTCAGGTGGCTGGACCCACGACACCTGAAGATCTTGCAGAAGCATTGACCGACGTGCATTGGCACTTTGCAGCCCTGCAGGCTTCCCACTTTAGAGAACAAAGCACGCGGGAAAGACCTTCTCTTTGCAAGCGGTTGTTCTTTGCATTTGTGAGTTTTCTACGCTTGCGTGCGCTTGTGTTGTTTGAGGCAATTATTGAACAGAAACGACTGTTTCTACGACCAGACCTGAAGCCAGATATTGAGATTGATCTTGATGCTGATATCTCGCCACATAGTTTGGCACTCTTGGGGGCGGAATCAGCTTCAGCTGGAATTGGGCCTACCTGGAGAGCTTGTGAAGGAAAGCTACTCTGGCGAGCTCGGATACTCCGAGAAGGTTGGTTGCTTTTGATTTTTCACCATGCCATCATTGATGAAAAGAGTATATCGATGCTGATGAAGGAGCTTCTTTCAATCCTGTCGGGTCGAGAGAGGACATCTCCCAAGCCATCCTTGGATCCTAAGTTGACCCAGCTTCTGGACCAGCCTGACGTGGGTGGTCCCGGTACATCGGGGAAGTTCACACGCTTGATGGAACAGCGGAAGGGCGGCCGGTGGCCCGGCAAGGCAGTGGGGAGGTTGGCAGATATCGTGCCATCCTCAAAGAGAAGTAATGTCGTGGCCAGGGAAGGGAAGGAGTGGCCAAAGCCTGATGGTTTGGCGCCATGGCAGGATCGAAAAACCAGATCATTGGTGACGTCAATCCCGGTGGCTGAGAAGTTGAGGGCTGTGTGCCGTGAGCGGGGCCTTACTGTAAATACGGCCTTGCTTGCCAGCCTTGCCCTGGCCTTGCGAGGACAAATGTCGCGAGCGGGAACTGTAGGCATGCGGCCCATTCTTGCAACTGATGCAAGATCTCACATTCCAGATGGACAAGACTTGTTCGGATCCTATTCCTTGGGTGCTCGATATCGAGCTGGCTGGGGAACTCTCGACGTTGCCGAAGATACAGACTTCTGGAATTTGGCCACCTGTGCAAAAAAGGCTGTGGAAGATGCGGGTAAGAAACTGGAAATCCACAACATTGCATGGTACATGCGGTTTCTGACTGCAGCAATGGGAAAGAAAGACGTAGCGTGGTTGCAAGGAGCTATGGATTTGGATGGGCCGGATCAGGGCAGAACCAATGCCATCCTAGTGAGCAACGCGGGTGTGGTGAGCGGCATGGAAAGTGGTCATTTCAAAGTCACCCAGTCATACTTCGCTTCCCATCAAGCAGCCTGGGGTCCATTCGTTTGGCTCAACGTGATGACGATCGGTGCCCGTATGTGCCTGACTCTTTGCTATGTTGATCCGCTTTTGGCAGATGAAAAGGTTTCGTGGCCGCAGTTGGTTGTTCCTTTAGTCGATTGTTTCGTAGGCATTTGGTGTCTGGTGCGCTCTGTTTCTGCGAGGTTTTTCAGCTTGAAGATTTCCAGCTGCAGTTTTCTTGCACTGTTCAGGCCAAGTTGCTTCTCAATGACGTCGAGTCTCGCTTGACCAGAGCATGTGATAGCTTGGAACGAGCACTCCCACACTCTGAGATGAACAAGGAAGATTCCAAAACGAGCTTAAGCACAGATAGGCGCCAGGTAGCGAGTGTATAATTCCATAAACTTCCTGACTTCCAAAAGCTTTGAGCTTGCCGGCTGAATGTTTGTTGATTTGTTGAACCCATGAGAGAGCAATACATTTTCCCGTACCTCTTGAAAATCTCGGTGTTTTGGGGGTGCCCCTTGCGCAAAGCATGCCCAAAGCCAGCTCACCTTGAGTTCATGCTCGCCAGGGTTTCACCGAGAATTTGTGTGGCTGACGCTGAAAGTGTCAATTCTCCCAGTTACAGCGGCCCAACGGTCAAACGCCAAATAGTCCATCGCGACAATCGCGGCCCCAATATAGCTATGGCAGTTGCTTACGCCCACAAGATGGTGAAGCAATGATGCCGACAGAGTCTATCAATCCAAAAAGGGGCGCTAAGTTGAGTACTGGCTTTGAGGCACAGCTAGGCTTGGCTATTGAGAGAGCTCCGACATGCAGAGTCAAAGCAGAAGACATGATCTCTTCATTCTGGCATCCCACAGGTCAGACCCAGAGCGTCATAACAAAGCCTGCCATTGCATATCACGAAAGGTAGCGGTTACGCTACCTGAGTTTTCCTTTTGCTTTAGCAAAAATGTATTATACTCAGAGCTCGAGCCTATCTCTCAGAGAAATGGTCCCCGACATCTTCGTTTGATGGCCGGGGGGGCCCCCTGAAAAGTAGAGCCTACCTGTACAGGGTTCCACTCCAACAGCTGATATAGTGTGTCCATGCTTGACTGCTTCAAGGCTCAAGAGAGGGTCAATGGACCTAAGGATAAGACTCTGCGTGAGCAAAAGACACTAGCGGTCTGCACCTCTACCGTGTACGCCCTAGTCACTCTTTCAGTGGTAGCGGAGCAGTGATCCTGGAAGACCCAGGTGAGCTCCTTTCCTAGGCATAGAATTGCTTGTGGGCAAACGGCCATGGATTGGATTGACGACTGGGAAGAGCCTGATGCGGATGTGGCTTATGAGCCAGCAGCCTACGTGAATAGGCATGTGAGAAGAGAACCAGCAGCAATAGCAATGACAACACAGGTCACTACAAAGGTGCCCCCATCTTATGATGGAAAGACTTCATGGTTTTCCTATGAGGATGCCATAGACGATTGGTGTGATATCACCGAGCTGGAAGATGAGAAGAGAGGACCAGCTTTGAGAAACAGATTAGAAGGAGAAGCAGCAGTATACAAACGTGTATTAGACAGAGATTCATTGAAGGCTAATGAGCCACCAGGAGCAGGAGTAGATTACTTCAAACGAGTACTACGACCATATTTCGTGAAAGGATCAACCAATGTATTCCTATACAGGTTTATGCAATTCGTGCGATTCAATCGAGGATCAGCTGACATGATGAAATGGATGACAAGATTCCAGATTTTACTCCAAAGGCTTATGAGCAGTTGGATGGACATGTTAGAACCAGTCACTCAAGCACATCCCCAAGTCCTTGCTCAGATGCAGGCAGATGCAGCGTTGACTGGAGTAGCACCAACGGCAGAAAGGATTCAGGAAATCATGCAGAATGTCAATGGCAATATGAGAATTCTTCATCAGAATGATTTTCCTTTAGGAGAGAATCTCATTGCCCTACTCATGCTGTCACTTGCAGATTTGTCTCAGGACCAGCGAAACACTTTGACTTCTTTGATGACTCATCGTGGCAGGTACCTGCAGCAATACACTACAACAGAGCTGAGGACAGTTTTCATCGAGATGTTCTGCA